TTGAATGTCGTATTAAGGCTAAATGACTGCAGTACAATAGGAATCAGCCATCGTCTTCTGGTGAGAGCGACATTCGAGTCTCTTCATCATGCACTTTCACAACAAATGAAAGTCTCGCCAATAATGAAAGTATTAGGACAGGGCCGTCTGCTATATGTAAATAAAACTATATTAGTCTAAATTGGGTTTCTAAACTATCAGTAAATATTGAATAAAAGTCCCAGTCACCCTAGATTGCATGAGGTGATGAAGAATTAATAGTTGCATTGTTCCACAATGATTACAGTAGGCCGCACATTTCCACTAAATTTCATATAGCCTTGCTTCCCAAAAAATATATCCTCATGCCGTGAAATTTAAAGTAAACTTGAGGTCTATTCATCGTTTTGTGGGAAAAGTCAACTATGAGTCCTTCATTACCTAATACGACCTATCTAATATAAATAACTGACTGGCTCTTCCTTGCTGTATATGCTCATAATGCAACTCAACTAGCCGCAGTAATCTAGATTTGGTTATTTCCTTCAGATGCCTAACTACATTAATGATGCCTGTCAGAATCAAAGTAAGTTGGCTAGAGGATTGCACCAACGAATCTCTTCATCATACACTTTCTCTCGAAGTGAAACTCAAGTAGCTCCATAATCTGATACAAGTTAGCACTAATAGTCTAAGAGACTCTTTGACAAGCAGTTTCTTGTCAATACTGCCTGAAATAAAGCCTTTACTACGTACCACAGCGATTTCACTGTAGAATATAACGCAAGCATGTAGTCGTCTGCGAGTGGCTTCAATTCTGTCAATAAATTCCAAGATGTACGTCTTGGAAGTGTGAAAGCGGCCTGCCAGTTGGGCATAAGCACCGTGTGTCTCGCGCCATGTGTCCTCTTCGCGTTCCTCCAACTCCGCCCCAATGATCCCTCCACAGGGCGCTCCTGTGGCCGAGAAATCGACGCCCATCTCCTCGTGACTGGGCACTCGACGAGGTGGGCTGCATTCACCGCCGTGGATTGAGGCGGCTTGGCTTAACTGGCGCGTGAGACGGGCGTGTGACAGTTGAATGTCGCGGGCCTCTGACGCCAGTGAAACCAAGCTGGCCAGCGACGCTTGGCAAGTGGCCAGATCGAGCCCCGGCTGAGCAGCGGACAGCCTCGGCTCACCAACCTGTAGATGAGTTAATCAGGAAAAAGATTCGTAATCATTAAAAAAAGCTCTTCCTTAAAGATGTTCTAATGATTGATAGAGGAACTTTCACACAATGGTGTGAGTAGAGCACATGTTTCCATTTAATTTTACTTAGCCTTACTTCCAAAAAGGTATTTTCATTCAGGTTAAATTGCATCTCCGACAGGGCCTAGATCTCATAGGCACCTCAATCAGGACTTGAATCCGGATTGTGGAAGTACAGCCTGTAGTCTTGACACGTTACCCACTGTGCCAGATTGCCACAAAAGCTCTTTGGAAATAGGGCCTGTTTGGAAGAAAGGTATTGTGAACTACTTGGAGTTTTATAGAATTTGTTTGACCTTGTTTTCGCAACTTGGTCATATTGGTAAGAAGACTTATGGGAAACGCACCTTGTCCTATACAATGGAAGGAGACTGCGACCATAAAAAAGACCACACCATCTTGGTCTTCATACTTTCAATCAAT